GAATTCAAAACACAAAACACAAAATGGAAACACAAAGAGAACGGCCCCTAATTTTCAAATTATTTTTCTTAACACTTTTCAATTAGAGAAAAGTCAAATGTTTGATTATATTTTGAATCACGTCCAATATTATATACGGATGCTTGGACGAGATTTTCGTCAATGTAGACATTGAAACTGTGTAAGCAAAACTGCAAGTCGCAAGACTTCTGCAATGGTATGAAATGGAAATTTGAATCCATCGTAAAGTTCAAATTTATTGAATTCAACCAACTAACTTGTTGGCAAGAGAAGTGGTCAACAAAATATCATGTTTCATTTCCAAAAGATGACAAATTATTCATTAATTTAGTGGGGACCCTAAGGCTTCTATATTTCTTATTATGCTGGTGGGAATATCACGACTAATCAAATAGAAAATAAAGGTTCAAATTCCTAGTTTATGATGATTCAATTACGACAAGTATACATTTTACATCTTCAACCCCAACTTTTAACATTCGATAACTCAATATGACTGCAGAGTTGATAAATGCCTCGACTACAAAAATTTTGTATCACGAGGCTTTGATAAAAAAAATTGTGTTATAAGAGTGCAAGATTAAAAAATTAAGAATCTTGCTACATGTACATTAAAATTTATAGAAAATATTACATAATACCACGTGATGTTATAACATTTGTCAGTTTAAAACAAATAAACCTTTTACATCAAATCTTTTCCCCCCACATTATTTTCAGTAACCGTTTATGTACCATTTTGATGTACAAGTAGCCAAATCGAAAAATGAATTAAGCCCCTGTTTAGTATCGATTAAAATCCAGATTTTAATTTAAGTCAAAATCAATAAATCATCTTAACCATGTATTTTATGAGTTTCACAATTTTTCAATCATATAATTTTTATCAAAATCTACTGGAAATCTTTTTTAATCTCCGTCAAACGGGGGCTAAATTTGCTCTACAATATGCGTTGATGGACTTGTGTCCATTCGCTAAAAACAAGTGGACTTGGAGTCAATGATGTCCAAATTCAAACCATTTAAAATGTCATTTTCTTTAAAATATTCATGTAATAAACTATTATGACAATTTTCTCTTACCTGGAATTTTGAAGAGGTCCAAGGTATTAAAATACTACAATGGAAAGTGGACCAATAGCAACCCATGTTAAAATCGAGTTGATAAAATGAAATCAAAAGAAAAAACCTCAAAACAGCTTATGAAAACTGAGTAATAATTAATTAGATGAAATAAATGTTGCTCGTTGAACAAGTCTCTAATCGTTCCAATTGATCGTTCTAGTGTTCCTACTTAAGTTTATGCATTTTGAAATAATTAATCCCGCGTCGTATGAAAAATCTACACTCATTTTGCAGGAAGAATGAGAAGAAAGCGCTTAACAACTTCAAAGAAGCCCATAAATCATAAGAAAATTATAATATTTCCCTAACAACTTCTGCAATTAAGAATCTTGCTACATGAACTGAATTCTTATTATGCCGGTGGGAATTGCATTACTAGATTCTTGATATAAAAATTTAAGTTTTCAGATTATGTTGCGTAATTTGTATAAAACACACAGAGGTTGAGATTTTTAATTTCATTGTGCTTCCGACTTAAAACTTTAAAATTTTTAAGTTCAACTACACGAATAGGGCTTTGATTTTATTTTTTTCTTCAGAAGCATATTCAAACACTAAAAACCAGTTGACTTGGGGTCAACGAATTACAGTCCAAATTCAAACCTTTTAAAATGTCATTTTCATTTAATATTTATGACAATTTTCTCCTTGGAATTTTGAGGAGGTACTATTAGAATACTATAATGAAATAAAA